CCAAATCCAAATGAAGTGCAGTTGTACCTTGGTAACCAGGAAGGATTAGTGGCAGGGCCCCTCTATGCTGAAATCCATGGATGCTCCCATCCCTTACCTGACTAGAGTGGCACCTGTCTATGACCTATGCACATCCCCTGTATACTTCACTGCATCTCTAGGTAACTTGTAATACCTAATACATGCAAATGCTGTGTAAATAGCGGTTATATTGTGTTGGATGGGGAGGAATGACAAGAAAAAGTCACTGTGCATGTCCAGTTGGAATCCATGGACATGAGAGCTGACTACACCTGTCTTCAAGTGTTGGTCTGGTAGCCCACCTTGCAGAACACCCAACACCCAGCAGAAGGTCCCCTCATGTCCTAAAGGCCCAACAGCCATTTCCTCACCTTTGTGGCCTTAGCAAAAGGAGGTCCTTGGAGCAGAACTGCGGAAGGTGTAGTCACACTCGTGTGCTTGAAGATGAGTACTCCATTCCACACACTCTGTCCAGGGACCTTAGGCTTGGCCAGTACCATGAGTCAGCCTGCTGTCATCAATGGCCTGGGAGCCATTCAGCAAGGAGATGCACCCTCCCCACTGCCAGCCTTCGCCTGCATCTGTGTCTTTCCCAATCTGTGCAACACTGTGTGCGCATGCATCTTATTAGGCATCGTTGCTCTCTCCTCCTCCCAGGCCATGGATGCTACAGATATAATGCAGCAGTGTCCTGAGCTGCAGAATTACCCAGACTTTGTAAAGGAAAGATAGGTAAAGGAGGTTCTGATTTTGATTTGTTCTAAAATAGTCTCTCAACCAACACTCATTTCATTCTATTATGGAGGTGGGAAAGGGAAAATTTTAATTATTTGGAGTGGGACTGAATCTCTCAGATTAAATCCAATTGTCGGACAATAGAGTAATAACACAAGTGGTTGTTATTATCCTTTGCTTTTAACACTTAACAGGCTCACCAAAGATTTGTTGAATTCCATTAACCCTAATGACGTACATTTATATATTGATTTGCCCATTGCAAAGCATTTTAATTCTCAGATTAAGAGAAAGATCACTGAACTTCTGACATACTCTGATCCCTGTCTTTTAACATACACAGTAACCAAGCTTTGAAAATAATTCTGTTTTGGGAAACATTTTGCCTAGTTTGATTTTGAAAAAATTTTTTCTGAAGAGCCTTGGGTGGAATTTTTAACTTCTCACTGAGAAGGAGCCTTTCTTTTCTTTTCTTACCCACACAGAACAATTTTGACTTTTTAATCTTCGAGAGATTCCCAAGACATCCTGTTCAGGGAAGATGTTGCTACACACAACCCTGCCACCCTCTCTTCCCTGGTGATCTCCAGCTGCCTGACTGTGTCCCTGGCTCTTTGCCCAGGGCTGGGTGGAGGAGGAAGGGCTGTACAGTGAGCATCCCCTTGGGATCCCCAGTGTCCGATGGAGCTGGAATGCAGATTCTCCAGCCTCTCAGGTACCCCATTCCAGGCACACATATTCTGCACCACAGCCCAGATCTCCCTGGTGGGGTGCAGGTCCAGCTGTCTGAAGTGGGAATGTGCTTGCCCAGGAGGTACCTATTGGCTGCCTCCCCTTTTCTATTTCCTTCCCTAACCCTACCTCTGCTTCCTGGACTACTTCCCAAGTAAAAAAACTCTTTTTGCCCAACCCCACCACTCAGGATCTGCTGCAGAGGACCTCCCCAGAGTACTTTTCCCTGGAAGGGGACTGGGCTGGCTGCCCCCAGCCGAGCCATTAAGTCACTTAAGCAGGTGTGACACTCTCCATGGTTACTTTGCTTCCACCATGTCCCCTGGCTTCATTGCTCTGGTTTATTCCACTTGCCACTCTTATTCTGCTAAAGAGAGGGTCAAATTTCTAATAAAGAATTAAGAAGATAAAGGTGGGTGAGGGAGACACCATGATGAGAGAAAGCCAGTGAATCCAGGCTCCCTGCTGATGCCTGCAGAATGAGGCATAAGGATGGTTTGCTTTCTATCTCTGCAGGCAGGTGTAAATGCCTGTACACTCTCTGGGAGTTACCAGGATTGTGATACATGTCGAAGGCTCAGATCTTGCTCTGGATGGAAGTCATCGAGACACACATTTTGAGCCTGGGATTTAGCTCAATGGTTCTACCACCTGCCTTGAAAGTGAAAGGTCCCAAGTTCAATTCCCGGTATCAAAAACAAACAAACAAACAAACAACAAACAAACACACATTTTGTACAGAAATCCCATTTTCTATGGAGTTACTAGATGTCATCTGGGTTAAGGTCAGTGTTGACATTGTCTCTTCACCCACACCTCCACTCAGTGGCTGCAACTCTCCTCTTAAACACTTTTAGATACACGGAACTCATTACCTCCACTGAGCTGCTCACCTCCTTGCTAGATGGGTCTGCCTCTAGCTGAACCAAAACCCCATCTGCACCTGTCACCCGCGGAATGCTCCATTCCACAGGAGAATTTAAAACATTTAAGAACATACATTTCCAGTCCTTTCAGCTCTCCTGAGTAGGTTAGGGGGCCCTGCACCAATGTCATGGCCTGCTGCCCTCCCCTGACCCCTGCAGAGCGAGAGGCCTCTAGAAGCACCCCACATCTCCAGCAATTGGGGAATGAACTGTTTAAATAAATTATGGGATGAGGTAAAGCTATAGAACCCTTAAAATCATGCTTGGAAGAATATTTAATAGTATAAAAATGTTCCTGACATTTCAAGCTGATGAACAAACACTATATGCAATGAGTTGAATTTCATTGATAATACACACATAGAAATCGAAGTCGAGAACATTAAGAATTTAGCTAGCTTAATTTGCTTTATGATTTTTGTAAAATTTCTACTGAGAGCATGTACTTGCTTTCTAACCAGGGAAAATATTTTTGGAAAAGAAATAAAGGAAGGATCGCCGAGCACTCAGAGCCCTGGTGTGGTTCTGACCTTTCAGCTCTGAGTGGAGCAGCTCTTGGTGTGACCACCTCCATTCCCAGTCTCAGGTGAGGGTTTCAGCAGATGGATCTCACTGTCCCCAGTGTTGCACCTGCAGCCATGCAGTCCCCTGGGGGATTTTCTTTGAGGTGAATTAGCCTGTTCCACCCTCCTCCCTCTCAGATTTGCAGGACTGGGGATTGAACCCAGAGACTTTGTGCTGAGCTACAACTTTAGCTCTTTTGATTTTTAATTTTGAGGTAGGGGATCATTCAGTTGCTAAATTGCCCAGGCTCCCAGAGTGCTGGGATTACGTGCACGCACCACTGTGCCTGGCTAGTATCTTTTTTTTAGTTTGACAACTGGCATCAGGAGCAGAAAACCCCCAGCCTGGGTATAGGGAAGGGCAAGGCATGGAAGTCAGTTGTGGTGTCCTCAGCCTTCTGGGACTGGACTGTGGGTGCAGGAGGGAGGCCGCCTTGCCTCAGAACAACACTCACTTGGGAAGCAGCGGACCCTCTTGTGGCTGTTTCGGGAGGTGCTGGGCCCTGGGGTTGGTGGGGACCTTGGGGAGCACCAGTGCTCTGCCCGTGGCTCCCAGGCTGAACTGGCTGCCCTGCAGCTCCATGTCCCATCCCTGTCTCTACAGACAGCAGAGCCTTGGAGAAAGTGCAGCAATGCACTTTTGCATCTCCCTTCAGAGATGTCTCAGATGTCTCACCTTGCGATATGGGAGGCTGCAGAGCAAGGGGAAGCAGAACTATAGGGGCCATGGTCAGCAGGAGGCACAGACGGCCAAGCAAGCCAACAACTCCATGCATGTTGGCAGTGGAGCAGATGACCCAGGGGACAGGCGGTCACAGGGACACGGGAAGAGAAAGAGGCCCACTGGGGCCAGCTTTGCAACTCCCCAGCAGGGTATTACCATCTTCTCTGGGACAATCTCATCCCTGGGAACATAGATGTGGCTTAGTGGCTGTCATTTCTCTTGGGGGCTGTAATGCTTGAACTGTGCAAATGATTCATTTCATGTTTTTTAAAATACTAAAAGGATTCTCAGCTCAATTTGCAGGCTTGCAGATTTATAAGACGCACAGTGAACACAAAACCATCATCACCCTTTTTCCTGAAGCCCAGTGAACAGAACACATGGAAAACTTCCACTTTCTTTTGGCAATATAGGTACACACCTTTTGGGTAAAGGACCAGAACCACGAGCCCAGACACTCTTGATTTTGAACCATCCTTTCTCCTCTTTAAGGAGAAGCCCCTGTCCTCTTAAAGAGATGTCTCTTCAGCCAAGACGATATTTTTATGCTTAAACATGGAGTTTATTGGGGAAGAATAGGTTAGTGATAGTTGGGATACTTTGAAATGAACGCCAAAGTGTGAATATTGTATTTGGGGTTAAAATGAAGTGACGGATTGTGTGAAAGCACTTGCAGGTTTCATCATCTGGAAAGCGGCATGAGATGTGCTGAGAAATTGGAGCAGACTGTTCTAACCTGGCAGTGTTCGCTGTGACTCTACGAACAACACATGCCTGTCAAGTGTCATGCTCCGTGTTGATGGTTGCAAGGTGAGCTAGCATAGTATTTGGCTTTTTGCCTTTGGTTTTGTCCAACTAGAACCCAAGTGGCCCATTTTCCCCCCATCAATTCAGCACTTTCTGCTGCAGTTGACTTAGGCCTCACCAGCTCTCTCTCTTCTCTGCCCCTCCCTGCACCCATTTTCTTGGTACTCTGTTCTTTCAAGCTTCCAGTGTCTTTGGCTTCTCATGAAATCACAGTCTTGATCTTTGCCTTTGGCTTGAGCTGTGACTCTAACAAAATAGGCTGTGTGTGCATGTGCGTGTGTGTGTGTGTGTGTGTGTGTGTGCCTATTTGAGTGTGCATACACATTTCTGTGTGTACTCTCCTGTGTCTCTGAGTGCATATTTGCACGTGCTCTGTGCTTGTGTGAACATGTTTGTTCCTGTACCTGCAAGTGTGTGTATTCAAGCACATTCCTAATAACTTGAACACTGAAAAGCACTCCCCTCCCTCTGCTGAAGCCCGCTCCTACTTACATAGTTGGAGGCCAGGTCTGGGTGGAGGTAGTCGATCCCTGTGAAAAGACCACAACACAGGAACCACGGGTTAATACTTGCCGCTGTGTCCTCAGGAAAGCTGGCCCAAGAAGCCCCCGTTTAGGGCTGGCACCTGGAGCCTTGCCGCAGGGGAAGGAAGTGGGCATTTGTCCTCCTGAGGGCAGATGGGTTGCAGCCAGGTGCATTCAGCTGCCCCCTGTGCACTTCAGAGGAGCCAAGCCAATTAGAGCTCAGGCCAAGGATGACACTGGCGTAAATGCAGTTTGAGGGGGCTTAGTGGCTGCGAGATGGATGGCTCACCAAGGCAAATCTCACCAAGAGAATTGTAGAAATGCCAACATTTCTAAAGTACTGACTGGCATTTTTTTTTAAACAAAGCCGGCCCTGGGGAGAACTATGATTATTTAACAGGGCACGGGCATCGATGGATTAGTTATTCATGCTCCAGCATAGAAATAAGGAAAGAAACTTGGCTGGGCGAGGAGAGCCATTAGCAAAGGGCAAATGGTTTCCAGGGAGGAGTCCCCTAGGTGTGTGATGCACATCTCTCCAGAATGTGGCTTTCCTTTCCAGGAAGCCAAGGCTTTGAGTCTCTGCAGGACTCTAGGGCTTTCTCTTGAATATGGGTCTGTCTCACTGCCCAGGGACTGTTCCCAGGGTAGATTTATGGCCTGGAGCACAGCTGAGTCCCATCAGATGTCACTGCAGAACTTCAAGGGGGACTGGAAATCTCTCATCTGGGTCTGCAGAGCTGCGTAATTTTTGCAGCAGTCACATCTGAGTATCCAGCCCTTGGAGAGACAGAGGGGCAGGGCAGGTGCTGATGCTGCCTAGCATAGCAATGGTTATAAGCAGGTATTTGGAGTCAGAGACCAGTGTTTAACTCCCAGCCACCCTGATTACTAGCAGCAGGACTAGCAGCAGGCAGATTGCTTGGCCTCTCTATGCTTGCTTCTTTTTCAAACTACTGGGAGTGAGAAGAGGGCAAGGGTTAAAGAAACTAATGTATGTGAGTGCTGAGCCCAGCAGCTGCTGTGTTCAATAACTATATTACGAAGCAATACTTATGCTCTGGAAGTATCATTAAGTGCCTCCCATAGCTGGTGTCTTTGCTGCATACTCTAAGGATGTGCTGCTATTATAACTTTGCCCTGCAAAAAGGAACTTCTTTTAGGATGGATTATTAAGAAGATTTTTTTTTGTTTCTTTCTGGGTATACAAATATATTCTGGAGTGGGAGCAGTGAAAGATGGTACATGAGAATCACTTCTCACCCACAGCCAGGTTGCCTGCTCCTTCCATTCCCCTCCCCAGCTCTGCAGAAGGGAAAGGATCAGAAGCTTTAAAGACTAATGTTTTAAAGCCTGACAAGGTGGGGACTGTCTGTGATCCCAGCACCTGGGGAAGCTGAGGCAGGAAGATTACAAGTTCAAGCCCAGCCTGGGTAGTTTAGCATTTTAGTGAGACTTGGTCTCAAGACTAACAAAAATTAAAAGGGCTAAAGGGCCATAATGTGGCTCAATGTGAAGGCTCTGGGTTCAAGCCCTAGTACCCAGTTCTGGCACCCAGTAAGCCAGTATCCAGTACACCCAGTACCAGTACCCAGCACCATGAGTTTAAAACAACTCATGTTTTAAAATGTTGTCAGTTCTTGTTCTGGACCCTAATTCAAAGATGGTCAATGTAGGATGTGGGTAGAACTAGGGATGACCACAAGCTTTAGGTTCCATTTGGGGATTGGACACTGTCAACACTGGTATGGCTTTGGCCAGGTGACACAGGCGCTCTGAGCCTCGGCTTCCTCAGCTTTGAAGTGGGACCATTATTTACCATGCACAGCACTTTTCAGGATCAGAAACAATTCACTGAGTGTTCATCTTGTAGTAAACTGTTCATGTATTATGTTTCTTATCATCATGGGTACCACCGTCCCCACCTCGCCAGAGTAATGAGACAATGTGGGGAGAAAAAGTTTTAAAATTGTACATGGTTTTAGAACATAGTATTGAAATTAAATTATTCATTTGATAAAATTGGTTAACTTTGTTAAGGAAAAAAATTTTGACATATAGATAAGATTAAAAAAAGACATATAAAAACATACATAGACATATGTTTTTCTAACAGGAGGTTTTTAAAAACATGACTTTGTATTCTGAGGGTGAAATTTAGGAGAAAAATATTCTTAGAATTTCTAGACTCTTCTCTGTGAAGGGAAAATATTGGAGTAAGGAGATAATTTGAGACTAGAAGAAAATCAGACTTAAAACAAGATAAATTTAGCTTAATTTAAATAAAGAATCTTTAATTAGGCTAAAGAAAAGACTAAGTGTTAAATTAGAATGGATAGAGACTTTGGTCTGAGAAAATATTTACATTTTTTTCACAAAAAATGATAGACATGATTCAGAAAAATAATAATGAAGTAAAGAATGAAAATAATAACCCAATAACCAGATAGCATTTTAATATTCTTGTATATTTGATTTTTTTTGAGCTGGAATCTACTGAATTCATTTCTTGATGAGCTCATTTATATTTAATTCTCACATTAGTAATGTATTATCATTTTCTATGCTTTTATTTATTTTTCAACAATGAATGGCTGGCTGGCTGTGGATGCTAGAAAGCCTAGTTTAGACCAACCCCATGTTGTGCAATTACCTGTAGTCACACTGTGACATCAAGACTCAGCCCACCTGTCTCAGGACCAGTCAGTCATGAGGAATGTGGCACACAGATGACAAATGTCGAGTTATATTTTTGTTCACAAACCATTAATAGCGTGCTATAAATTTGAGTCTTTTCAAAAGTCTAATCCACACCAGTCCAAATTCTCAGGAAGCCTGATGGTTTGGCTGCCCTGAACTGCCTATGCCATGTGTCTTCTAGGGGGTAACTTGGCCATGCTTCTCCTAGACACCCAGATCTGTTGCCTCCTCTTCCATCTCAATGGGCTTGTGACTGCTTCAGTCAATGGAGGCAGGGGACATCACTGCATGACTTACAGGTCTAGGCCAGGAAAGGCCAGTGGTCTTCCACCAGGCTCCTTTGGATGGTCACTTTGGGGGAAAGTGGATGGCCATATAAGAAGCCTATTTGCAATGCAGTGTATTTGTAAGATTTTATCTGAGTCTATTTTGAGTATAGATCTAACTTTTTCCTACCAGAAGCAGGGCTTTGTCATTCTTGCCACAATTTCTAACTCTGTCTCCTCCTAGCTCCCCAGCATGGTCAGTCCAGCTGTCTGCCATATACAGCTGCCTCCTGGGGGCCTTTCCCTAGGGAACAGTTAGATATGATCTACTTAACCTGCTCCCCTGGCTGCTGTCCCCTCTGAATGAAGACTGAGCAGATAAGCTGCACTGACCACTGCCAGTCACCATATGACTTCATAGAACCACACACTGGAGCTCCCTGTGAGGTATGATCTAAGTGGCTGCTCTAGGCTCCAATAAAAGCCTTGGCCCATGGGACCCTTGCTTCCCACACAATGGCTGAGTGTGCGTGTTCCCATTGTTTCCCCTCTCTGGCTCTGTGAGCCATGCTGGTCTCCTCTCTCCGGACCTTTTGAGTAATAAACCACATCTGGCATTGCGTGTTTTTGTTGAATTGCCTCTTCTGTGTCTCCCCTGACCAACACACCCAGACCCTAAGTTCTTACTCAGTCGGGGATCTCCCAGACAGTGGCTGTTTTGGTGGAAATAAACTGGGCACAGGTCAGACAAGCCAGGGCATGTGCCAGTATAAACAAGTTTCCTGTCAGTCAGTCACTTGGTCACAGGTTGAACATGTGAGCATTAGGATACCAGTAGGATAAAGGGAAGGATCTTGTGAAAGGTACTGCTTTGCTTTGAAGGACTATGTCCCTCCAAAATTCATTGTGAAACTTAATTTTCAATGTAATAGTATTAAGAGGTAGGGCCATTAGATGAATAGGTCACAAGGGGCCCTCAAGAATGTAATTAATGCTCCCATAAAAGAGGCCAAAGGAAGTGCCTTCATTCCCTTTACCTTTCTGTCTCCTCAGCCATGTGAGGACACATCTTGGAGGTGTTGTCTCTGAGGAACAAGGCCTCTACTGGACACCAAACTGGCTGGCACCTTGATCTTAAACTTTCTAGCTTCTAGAATTGTAGAAATAAACTTATGTCCTTTATAAATTATCCAATCTAAGGAATTTTATTTTAGTGGCAGGAATAGACTGAGACAGAAATTGGTACCAAGAGGTGATGTGTTGCTATTACTGCACACAATACTAAAAAATGTGAAAGCAGTTTTGGAGCTGGATGATGGGCAGAGGCTGGAAGAGTTTGAAAGTGAAGACTAGAAAAAGCCAATACTGCTCTGAATGGAACATGAAGAGGGAGGCTGGTAAGGGTCCAGAGGGAAGGAATTAGAGGGAAAGCCCAGATGTCCTTAGACTCTCTAGGTTTTGTAAAGAGAATGTTGGTAGAAAATAGACAATAAAGGCAATTCTGGTGAGGTCTCAGACAGAAACCAGGAATAAGGTACTGGGGAATGGAGAAAAGGTGTTTTGCTACAGAGTGTTTCATAGAAGGCAGAACCTAAATGCAATGCGCTAGGATATCTGGCAGAAAACCCTCCAAGGAAAGCACTGAGGGTAGGCACAGTTTCTCCTGATTGTATATAGTAAAATGTGGAATTTGCTTATTTATTATTTATTCATTTATTTTTTGGGTCTGGGCATTGAACTTGTGACCTTGCATTGTGAGGTAGGTGGAGGCACCACTGAGCTAAATCCCCCAGCCCCCAAATGTGGAATTTATGATTGAAAGGGAAACAGAATTTGTACAATTAGAGAATCTTCAGTTTGGTGCAGTTGTAAGGAATGAGAACGTGTGTTCAGGAGAGGACATCAGGAGCATCAGGGGTTTGACCAAGTGAATGCTTGATAGAGAGTCTCGTGTGGACGGAAGGAAGTGTGATGACATTCATCAGAACTATGGATGAATGAGCTTAGAGCTGCTTCTGAGATCCTCCTGGCTGCCCTACCCAGCACAGGCATAGGGTACCCAGGCCTTCAAGTTGGAATAGCTTGCAAAGAGGGTCCTGGGGCACCTGTGTGATCTCAAGGCTCACTGCTCAGGGCAGCCTCAAGTTTCTGCCCCACGAATTTAGGTACCCTGCTCCTTGGCTGCTCATATGTGGCTTAAGCAGGCCAAGTTTTGGCTCAGGTTCTGTGCAGAAGGTTTAGCTTATGAATCTTGGTGGCTTTCATGTGGTGCTAGCTCTGTAGTGGACAGAAGCAGGGCTGCCTCTACCTAGGTTTTTAAGGATGTTCCAGAGAGCCTTAAGGCCAAGGCAGACAACCACAGGGAGGTAACCATAGTAGAAAACTTTATGATGTCTAGCAGAGCTGGAAGCCTGGGACTGTTCCAAAGAGTCCAGAAACCTAGAGTAGCCAATATGTAACTCTGGCCTGGGGAAGTACAGGCACAGGACTCTAAGCCACAGGAGCAACTTCATGGGTTGAGCCCAGTGCCATTGGGCAGGGTTGTAGGCAGCGTTGGCGGGTCATAATATGGACCCCACTTTAGGTGGGACAAGGAGTAAATGACTATCTTTAAGCCTAAAGATTTATTGTTTGCTCTTTTGGATTTTGGACTTAATTGGGACCTGTTTACCCATTGTTTTCTTCTCTTTTTTGTTTCCCTTTTGGAATAGGAATGTTTGTCCTATGCTGGTCTCACCATTGTATTGGAACTTGTTTGCTTTTGCAGGGTCACAGCTGGAGAGCAATTTGCCTTGAGATGAATTGTACCTGGGGCTTCACCCGTATCTGATTTAGATGGTATTTACAGAAGAATCTGGGCTTGAGACTTTTAATTGGTGCTGGAACAAGCTAAGGTTCTGGAGATGTTTGGAAGGAATGAATATATTTGTGCAAAGGAGGACATGAATCTTGGGGTCAAGGGTGTAATACTATGGCTTGAGGGTTTGCATCCTCCAAAATTCATTTTGAAACTTAATCCCCAGGACAAGAATGTTTGGAGATAAGGCCATTAGGGGGTAATTCAGTCTTGAGGGCTAAACCTTCATGAATGGGATTAGTGCTTTGGGATTAAGGCAAGAAAGAGCAAGTTCATTAATGTTTTGTTCCTAATGTCATGTAAGCATGCAGTGCTCTTCTTTCCAGAGGAGGTGAAGATAAAGCACTATTGTGGAAGCAGAGGAGCTTCTGCTGGTACTTTCTCTGCTGGTGCCTCAGTCTGGGACTTTCCAGCTTCCATCTGGGAGAAATAAATATCTACGATTGACAAATCAGTTTAACGTATTTTGTTATAGCAGTAGGATCAGACTGAGTTAAGTATATTGTAAACATATATAGTTTCTTCCCTGCAATCTTGTCAATGTAGGTTAGAACTTTTAGCCACTCTTGTCAGAGACGCCTCAAGGCCACACATGAGAGGAAATTACAATGTAGTCACTCACTCTGAGAGTGTCCACAGGGCTGTATTGGCAGTCAGTGTCAGTCACCAGCTCTGCAGTGCACCATCTTGGTGTTTCTGCATCACGAGGCTGAGTCTGTTTTGCTTACCCTAGAGTCTGGACTGATGATGCTGGGACCATCATCCAGCAGAAGTGGCAGGGATGACTGCTCCTGCAGGTCCAGCCTTGGTGAGGACTGGAGCTACCCCTTCTCTCTGTCTCAGAAAGCCTGCTCTTTGGAGTCCTGACTTGTCTGAAATCCAACCAGTTTGCTAGAGACCCCACACAGGAAGAAGAGGCCCCAGGGGTCCGTGGATAACAAGAAAGCCTGAATCCCCAGTGAGCTCAAGCCCCAGCCATCTCTTACTCCAAGTGCCTGAAAGACCCCAGTGAGAAAGCAGCAGATTCTGTATCATCCCACAGACTGAAGATCGTAACATGGTTACTCTTTTAAAAAATCCATTCAGTTCTGAAGTGGTTTATTCTATAGCAGTAGATGACTGAAACAATGAACATGCCAGGAGTTTTAATTAGGAAAAAGGCAGAGGAGAGGGCAGGGACAAGGGGAAAAAAATGAGAGCCAAGACCTGTCATGTAAAGGTACAAGATCCCAAAAACGAATGTAACTGTACTGTATACCTAAATGTACCAATAAACTCAAATAAAAGGGCAGAGGGTTCATTCTTGGGGATCCCAAAGGCCATGCCTTTGCAGAAGAAATATCAAACAAGAAATTCTGCTAGGATTTTCTAAAGGGTTTGGTCTCTTAGTTGGAACAGAGTCAGGAGCAATCTTCTGAAGCTTCTGGCAAGGGGTACAGCTAAGAACTTGGAAATGGGCACTTACAGTGCTCATGGAAGCTTCATAAGACCAATGTATATATGCTGTAGCTGTAGTGTCATTTAGGGGACTTCTCTGATGACTCATTAGAAAGACTTGGTATTGGTCATCCCAAATGTGTTCTAGGTGGGCTACCCTCAAGCTTAGGTGCATCTTTTTCTTGGATGAGCTGGGATCAACTGCTTTGGAAAAGTTTCCAGCCAAAGTGTTAGGAAGGAAATACACTCACAAGCTGAAGACATCTATCCATGTACAGTTTTGTGCAGAGCTCCTTTGTTTTCTGAAAGCCCTCACCCACCAGAGGAAGCTTTTGCATCCACTTCAAAACATCTCTTGGGTCAGAGACACACCAAGGCCTTGTTTGTGTGTTGCTCTTCAATGACCCCAAGCAAAGGTAGCACAGATTTTAAGCAAGCTGGCTTCCCTTGTTCCCTCCATCAGCACAGCTTCAAAGGCTTGCTTTAGACAACACAGTGTGCTTTGAGGATCTTCAGAAAGAACAGGCTCCATTGTCTCATTTCCACACAGCCTTTGCATGTAATTAGATCCATAATGCACAGTGGAGTTTTTACCTGGGGGCCCAGGGGGGTGAGAAGGGACAGAAGCTCAGCCCCATGAAATAACCACAGGCTGGTAACTCTACAGAATCTACCCAGAGGCAAGGACATGTACAGATGGAAAAAAACCAATTCATCAAAGTCATACCGTAGAAGCTCAAGTCTTCAAACTGTAGAAAATAAAGGTCTGTTAAATCTCTGGCAGGCACACAGGGTAGAATAATACAGAGGCAGTATCTATAACAAAAGGTTACCAAAGGCTGCTTTACAAGGGTCATTCTAAAAGTAGCATTAAAGTTAAATATCTCCGAAACTTGACCCTGTTACTCAAAAACTATTTCATGGATCCAGAGCCACCCTGTTTGATAGAACTTTCTGTGATGATTGAAATGGAATTGGTATGAATTTCAGCAATTAAAATAACCCATTTGACCACCAAGAAGTTGAAATGACAAGCCAGGGTTTTAGCTCCATATTCGAGTGCTTGCCTAGCATGAGCAAGGCCCTGGGTTTGATCCCCAACATCACAAAAAACAAAACAAAACAATTTGAAATAAAGCTGGTATGATAGAAGAATTGAATGTTTTATTTTCTTTAGCTTTAACTTATTAAAATTAGAATTTAAGCAGCCATCTGTAGCTAGTGGCTATTACATCACGTAGTGTAATTTTAGAGATATAGATGGTAAATATAAATAGATTTAGAACACTTCTTAAGGTAAAGTATAACTTGTGGCCTAATAAGAAATTAAGGTTGACTGATAGGAAGTTGTCATTTGTTCAATTTCTTATTTATTCATTCAAAAATATTTGTTAAGTTCGTTGCTGAGTTTAGTGGCCATGATCCTGAGGAAGGTGAGGATTTGGTCACAGTGCACTGTGGTCATTAGGCCCAAAGTCAGAAATGTTAATCCTGTCTCCAGTGAGCATCACTGAAACAATGACTCTCCCAATCTGAGGGCATGCAAAGACACACTTCCTCCAAATGATGCAAAAGTTTTGAAATACTCACCATCATCCATAATCCCAATGGTCACCCCTTTCCCGGTATATCCCAGCTCCCAGGCCTCTGCCACGTTCAAATCAAGGCCAGGAGTGCCATCAGCCTGTCCGGTGTTGATCTGGTACAAAAACACCAAAAGAAAGAATCTTATTGGTTTGGGGAAGTACAGAATGTGTGCAGTTGTTTGTTTGATGTGTTCACACTTACCTAGTGTCCCAGGACCAGTGAAAGGCCAAATCTCCTATGAAAAAGCACTTTTGGGTGTCCTCACCCCCCACAGCACTATCTCTCTTTATTTTTCCACTTAAACAATTGATGCATTATGTTTTATGTAAGTATGCAAAAGCTGCTTCAGTTCCCTCATTTCTGTAACTAGATTGTCATGTTTAAACTCATTCTATATAAAACTCTGGAACTGCCATTGCTAAGAGACCCTCCCTAATTGAGAATCAAATGTTTACTCTTATAGCTTTTGGTTTATACTTCATGCTTTGAATTTATCATGTATTGTCTTGGGTTATCCTTACTAAATATAATTTGAGTATTAACTACTATCATTTCCAAGAGACAATTTTAGTACCAACATACTAAATATTGTTCAAAAATATTTGTCCAACTGAATTTAAGACAAATGCTCCCCCTCCAGCTTTCACACAAGTTATAATGCTGAAAAATGAAGCCCCTGGTCCCCTTGAGAAAGAGAAGGGAAGAAAAAAATTCACTTTGTTATGTTTATTCCCCTCTTTGCATATACCTGTTTTCTGTACAGATTTTTCTCAAAGATAGTTTATAAAATAAATAGTAAAGTCAGAGCTTTAAATCACACAGTAGGCAGTGGCTATTGTGTGAACATCAAAAGTGCTTTTTACAGAAAAATTACTGCTTTTCATTTTTCAAGCTCAGGTTAAGGTTATCCCTCTCCACCTCCTTTGAAGTAAGAAAGTACATGTGAATGTTTTTGGCCAATGGCAAGTGAGCTCATGAGTCACTTGTCGCATCCAGGCAAAAACTTTAAGAGCCAGTGTCCAATTTGTCATTTTTACTTGCTCAAGTGCTTACAAAAGCAGCTGAGATGGAGCTTGGTTGGCCTGAGTTCCTGAAGGATTATGAAGCATTAATCGCACAGCAAAGCACTGTGATCTGGAGACTGTATTTATGGCAGCAGATCTAGCCTATCCTAGATTATAAACTCATTCAATTATCCACATTGGGTTTTGAGAATTCCATGTCAAGAAAGCATGAGAAGGGTGAGAAGCCAGTGTGGACCAGAGTGGCACAGCTGCAGGCAGGTCCAGCCAGGACCCTGCCCCGACCCTGGCTGCTTGGGTGCACAAGCTCCATCTAAAGACCTGCCTGGAAAAGAGCTGCACAGGTGCACAAGCAATAGCCAGAAGCCTGCCCTGATACCGTTGGTAAGTGTGTGCAGATTCTAGCCAGGCACCAACAACTAGGGTGCACAGCCCCCATCTAAAGGCCCTCCCAGGCAACAGCTATGTGGGAGGGCAGGCCCTAGCTAGAGGAATGCTTAGATACCATCCAAAGTGTGCATAGGCCCCAGCCAGAACCCCACCCAGACAACAGGACAGCACAGGGATCCAAAAGGCTCCCACACTGAACCCAGGAAGTGGTTCAGTAGTGAGTGGCAGAGAAAAGGAGGCTTGGTGGCTTGCTGAGATGAAGACCACTGTGTGAGCAAAAAGCTGCTTCAACAAAGGTGCAGCAGGCTGCATCTGATGAAATGAGAAGACATGTAAACAAGTCTCAGAACCAGACTTCCAGATCACCTAAGGCAACCCCAAAGGTCAATGAGATGGAACAATCTGATACTCAACCACCTGGACTCCCTGAACTGCAATAGAAGAGCCTCTGGAAGAAATGAAATTAGAAATAATTTCTCAGATAACAACAGAGATTGTGTGTATAGTGCAAGACATGATTAATAAATCTAGAGCAGACACAGGCAAAAAAATTAGAGGAGCTGAGGAACATGATGGAATCCCAACATGGGAAACAAATAGGATACATAAAACAGATGCAAACAGATTTCCAGGAGATTAAAAACTCTGTTGAAAGTTTATTCAGCAGAATGAGCCAATGTGGAGACAGAATTTCGGATATAGAAAACAGGATTGCTATTAGTGACCAAGAAAAATTTCTTAAAAATAGTAAGGAACCATGAGAAATCAATCCAGCAGCTGCTAGAAGATGCAAAGAAGGATAAAATAAGACTGAGCAGAGTCAATGAAGAAACACGAGAGTGTCCAAATTACATTAAAAAAAAAACTGTTCACAGAAGTAATGGCAGAAAACTTCCCAAACAGGGGAAAATAAATTGGCATACAAATAAGTGAGGCATATAGGACTCCAACTAGCCGTGATTAAAAAAAGTCTACACCTAGGTATATACTAGTTAAGATTCCAGGAACCCAGCAGAACAAAACACTAGAGGTAGAGAAAAGAAACAAATCACATACAAAGGAAAGTCCATCAGAATCACAGCAGACTTCTGTGGCAAGCAGGCAATAAGAGCTTAGAGTGACATATATCAAACCCTAAAGGAAACTCCAACCCAGATTGATGTACCCTGCAAAACCATCTTTCAAAATTGATGGAGAAATAAGATACTTTCATGACAAAGAGCACCTGAGGAACTTCATGAATTTCATGGTTTGGTAAGAAATTTTAAACAATATCCTAGGAAATGATAATGAGGATCACAACTCCGGTAAATTCAACAAAATGAATCCATCAGGCACAACATGAAATTAAATGCAAAGGGGGAGAATCCAAAAACAAAAAAAAAGTCATGACAAGGATAAGCCAATACATTATTACTTATAACCATCAATGTTAATAGTCTCAATTCACCAATTAAAAGAAATAAACTGGCATAATGGGTCAAGAAGCAAGATCTAACAATATGCTGCATATAAAACATACTTAATTCAAAAAGAAACTCATAGACTGAAAGTTAAAGGGTAGAAAACAGTATTCCATGTGACAGGAACCCACAAAAAAGCAGGAGTAGCTATCCTCTTCACAGATCAAATGGATTTAGAGAGGAACTACTGCCACTCCTGTTTAAACTCTTCAATAAAATTGAAGGGAAGCAACATTCCCAAATTAATTCCTGGAAGCAAGCATCACCTTGATCCAAAAAGCAGAGAAAGACCCAACTGAGAAAGAAAACTATAGGCCATTCTCACTAATGAACATGGATGAAAAAATCCTTAATAAGATACTGACAAATAGATGAATGCAGAAGATCATCACGAAGATCATATACCCAAACAGGTGGGATTCATCCCAGGGATGCAGGGATGGTTCAACATATGCAAATCAATAAATGCAATATGCTATGTTAATAAAGCCAAGGACAAAAAACATGATCATCTCAATAGATGAAGAAAAAGTATTCGATGAAATTCAACACACATTCATGGTAAAAACCCTACAAAAAATTGGAATATATGGTCTCTACCTCAATCTGATAAAAGCCATCTATGAAAAACCAACAGCCAATATCATAGTAAGTGGCCAAAAATTGAAATCCTTCACTCTAAAATCAGGAACAAGACAAGGATGTCCACTATCACCATTACTGTTGAATATAGTTTTGGAAACATTACCCACAACAATTAGACAAAAGAAACAAATAAAAGGAATAAAGATAGGAAGTGAAGAAGTCAAATTGTCATTATTTGCAGATGACATGCTACTCTATATAGAAGACCCCAAGAACTCCACCAAAAGTCTTCTAGACTTAATAACCAAATTCAGTAGAGTAGCTGGTTACAAGGTCAACACGCAAAAATCAATAGCTTTTCTGTACATGAATAACAGATTTACTGAAAAAGGAACTGGAGAAACAACTCCCTTCACAATGGCATATAAAAAAGAAATACCTATGAATCAATTGAACAAAATAAATCAAAGACCTCTACCTTAAAATTATAGTACTCTGAATAAAGAAATCGAAGAGGATATCAGAAAATGGAAAGACATTCCTTGTTCCTGGGTGGCAAAAATCAACATAGTGAAAATGGTGATACTTCCAAAACTGGTACATAGATTTAATGCCATCCCAATTGAAATCCCAGCAGCCTATTTCACAGACCTTGAGAAAGCAATCCAAAAATTCATTTGGAACAGGAAGAGACCTAGAATAGTAAAAGTAATTCTAGGCAACAAAGACAAGGTAGGGGTTATTACAATCTCCAACCTGAAACTATATTACAAAGCTATCATGATAAAGCAGCATGGTACTGGCAAAGAAACAGACTTGAGGACCAGTGGAATAAGTTAGAAGACGCAGAAACAACTCCAGATACACTCTGCCACCTCATCTTCAACAAAGGAGCCAAACACCCTCAATGGAGGAAAGATAGCCTCTTTAATAAATGGTGCTGGAAAAACTGGGTTTCAACTTGCCAAAGATTAAAACTAGACCTATATCTCTCTCCATGAACTAGACTAAAATCAAAGTGAATTAAAGATCTAAATATTAAAGCAGATACTCTAAACTGGCTGGAGGAGAGGTTAGGTAGAACTCTTCAAGACATTAGTGTAGGAAAAGTTATCAAGAACAAAACCACGGTTGCTCGTGAACTAGCACAAAGAATCAGCAAATGGGATCTCTTCTTATTAAAAAGCTTCTGCACAGCAAGAGAAACCACCAACAGATCCAGGAGACAACCCACAAGTGGGAGAAAATTTTTACCAGCTATTCCTCAGACAAAGGTCCACTATCTAGAATATTTGAAGAACTTAAAACAATCAGACCTCCCAAATTTAAAGACCTAATCCAAAAATGGGCATCAGCAATGAACGGACATTTCTCAGACAATGAAGTTGGAAAGCAAATAAAAATATGAAAAAATGTTCAACATCACTGGTAGAGAGATGCAAATGAAAGCAACACTGAGATTTCACCTCACCCCAGAAGGAATGGCTGCTATCATGGGATCAACCAATAACAAATGCCGGTGGGGCTGTAGGGAAAAAGGAACCCTTCTCAAATGTTGGTGAGAGTGCAGACTGGTGCAGCCACTGTGGGAAATCAGTATGGAGATACCTCAAAAACTAGGATTGGAGGTCCCATTTGACACAGCTATTCACCTGCTGGGTATCTTTCCCCCCAAATGAAAAGAATCATACCACAGTGATATATGCTCACCCATGTTTATAGCGGCACAGTTTGTTATAGCTAAAAACTGGAAACAGTCCAGTTCCCCATCAATTGGAGACTGGATAAAGAAAATATATACATATTTTTTACAAAATGGAGAACTACTCAGCCATAAACAACAAGAAAGTAGAAACATTTATAGCTAAATGGATGCACATGTAGATGATAATCTGAAGTGAAATAAATAGGACACACATGTGTAAATACTGATAATTTCTCTGGTGTGAGGAGCTAAAAGTGTAAATAAGGATAAAAATGTATGATAGATAATGTGAAATAGGACAAAAAGGTGCAAAGGGGAAAGGGGAGTGGTTAGGGGTTGGGGAAAGTAAATAAGGGAATGGAATTAATATGAGAAAATGAAAACAAATTGTTTGTAAATAGAGAGGGGTGAAGAGGGGTTGAAGGGAGGGCAGGGGAATGGGAAAAAATAAGAATCAAGATATATCACATAAAGGTACAAATCTCTGATGATGAATGTCATTATATTGTATTCCTAAAATGTACCAATAACATTAATTTTAAAATAATCATGAGGCCACTACCCACTCTGCGAGAAATGGGATGGTAAGGCCATTGGCTCTCTCCACATAATTAAAGAAAAAGAAAGCACGAGGCATAGTCAAGTTCTGAAGCTCTGGGGGGTGTGGGGGGGACTGTGATGCATCCCTAACAGTCCACAGGGCTGTGACTGAGTTTTCTGTCTTGGTCATCACCTTTAAATCTTAAATAAAATTAAGCTTCATTCTCATGTGTGAGTCACTTTCCCCCACAGTATGCCCTGCAGTTCAGGTTGGCTGGGACTCACTGATCTTCTTTTAAACAAAACCCAAGCAGTCCACATAGATCATGAGGAACTTCTGGAAAGACAGAAAGTATTGTTGCACCAGACAGACTGGATGTCAGAGCCTGGAATCCTACATCCCATTCAGCTGTGTAGAATTGAGTTCCCACCATTGCAAGAAGAACTAAGAGATGCTACTTTTGCTACTCTAGTCTCTAAGCTCTCTCGCTTGACCCTTCTGCAGTCACTGGATTGTTTCTCTTGGGCCTGTGACATTACTTTCCTCCAATTACTCCACCTTCTGAGACCCATGGATCACCCCTCCCAGATCTTTGATTTGACTTTTATGTGTTTTTGCAAGTCTTCATTCACATATGGTTAAGTTTTCCAGAGTCTAGTAGTATGTGATCTGCCATTGTTAGTAGCTTTGGCCCTGGCAGGACATGTCTATTTGGCAATTCCAGAAGAAAGTAGATTAGGGGAGGAGGTGATAGAAAGTCCACGAATGTTGGAGGGCACAGAGAGTTCATAGAGCCAGGCACAGGCTAACATCCCCCGACTAAGGAGAAAAAAATGCATCTTTTAAGAGGGCATGCGAGATGTTAGAAATATCAGACACTTACCAGGTACCACTGCTTTGTAAAAAGAGGATCATTCATGTTGATGTCAATCTCATTGATGTCTCTGTACCCTCTCTTCTTTCTGTCAAATCCTTCCTGTTGCAAGGCCATCTTTACCTGGAATGACAAGGCTGGTAAATTACCAAGTAACAACTTGAACATCCCTCTTCTGGACTTCCCTGAAACAAATTCAAAATTCATTTGTAAATAATGTGGTTTTCTTTTTCTCAGTAAAAGCAAGTTAATTCATGCAGACTCTCACTTTATGATTATTTTCCAAGGACAACTATTTATAGTTTCCTTTTTTCTTTTTTGGTACTGGGGATTGAACTCTGGTCCTCGCACTTGCAAAGCAGGCAACGGAACCACTGAGCTAAATCCCCTGCCCGTGAGTTTTCTTAAGTGAAATAAAAGAAAAGAATGGAATATTTTTATGAAGGAAAGGAGACTGATGTGGATTCAGGGAAGGGGAGAGAAAATTTCTAGACAATTGACAGCTGACAGTCCCGTGTTATCACATTTTGGGAATCAGTAAAAACCAAAAACCAAAAGTATCCAAGAAATACAAAAATAAAACACCACCAACAGAAAGCCACACCTACTAGAAGGAAGCAAGTCCCACAGCAAAGCTCTAGAAAGTGAGCAAGAGACATCTGAAAGGAAATTTATGTAAAGTGCTGCTGGCCCTGCACTGACAGATAACATTTTATTTCTGGACACTGAGATTGAACCCCAAGGTCATGGATGGAAATGAAACTCAGGAACTCAGTTAGTTCAGGCCTGGCCATGGCAGGCTTTGTCTCAAACAGGAGACTTGCTTTCATTAGGACATTCACTACCTTATCATCCAGTAGCGGTGGCCAATCTGAACATCTACGAATGCAAAGACTGGATTCATGGACACAAGGGTGTGTGCTGGATATTTATTATGATTAACGCTGCATGTGTGGCTCAGCATTCATTTTTCTTCTTCCCATTTTTCCTCCATATTTTGGGTGAATTTCCTTGATTCTACTGGTTTTTGTGTGTTCTTGGGAGTGAAATTCTGAGCTCTGCTTACTGTAAACACCAGGGACTTCCTGGGCCCCAGGGTATAATGGTCAGGGTGAGATGGAGCTTTAAAAGTTAATTTTTTTTTCCACTGGCGCTCCAACTTCATCAGGCACTGGATACTTACCACCCACTCCTCTCCTTCACACAGATGAAAGGACAGAATATGCAGATATGGGGACCAGGGAATCAAAGTCTAGTATCCTTCATTTCACAGAGCAGGGAGGAAGTGGAAGATGTTGGGGAGAGACAAAGCAAGCCTGCAATTGCCTACTGTCTTGTTGGATTGCTTCCCTTCTATCTGTTTTGCTATAAAAGGCCCTTGCACACCCCTAAGTGTGATGGTGATTTGTAGCAATATGAGACATCTCTATCTTGGGCCTAGCTTTGAATAAAGCCTTTTTCCTTTCACCAAAAAAAAGAAATGGCCTCGTGTTATTTGTAGACTAGTGAGCATAGGGGCCCGTGTAGCCCATAACAGTTTAGCAAGTGGCCCTGAGTAGCTGGGGACAAGGGCACCTCCACAGGTACCTTGCAACTAGGATTTGAATCTCAAGAAAGCAATGCAAGGGCAAAGAAGCCTGGGACCTCTTCACTCACCACACTCTGCCTGAGAAGGATCCTTGCCAGAGTTCCTGTAACCTCAGGGGGAGTAAGACTGACTCTTCCACCCTTACAGATGCACCCTGACATCCTCCTCTCAACTTCTCTTCCGAGGAAGTGAGAAGAACTTATTTCTGTTGCATGCAGTCAGGTACTCTGATTGATGTGGGATGGGAAGAGGGCAGCAAGGAATGCAGCAAGGGTAGTGGTAGGGAGGGAAGAGTGAAGAGACTCCTCACTGCTGCAGGATGTGCAGGGACCTATGCTCAGTACTGGCCTGGAACCTGGAGCACCCTTGGGAGATGAGACCAGCTCCTGTTTCTGTGCTCTATACACTCATCCAGGAGGGCCAGGCTCACTTGCCAGAAAAATTCTAACTACTAAGAATGCTATCACGTAGGAAAAAAGGACTAGGTAGGTGTGAGTTCTTGGAGGTATTTCCAACAGGGACATTATGGCACAGCTAAAAATAAAACTTGCCCCCCAAAGGAATAGCAAAATTATCACAAAAGTGAGATAGATGGATGCTTTTATAACGGAAAAAATCTGGACATAACTAATGCCTCATCAAATGTAGATGAGGGCCGGGGATTTGGCTCAGTAGATGAATTGTGATTCAAACATGCACATATATATATGTGTGTGTATGCACATATGTATATGCATATATAAGTGTGTGCCCATATAAATCTGTAAAATATAATGCATCCCTCCCACCCCTCATCTAAGAACTAGATGCAATAGGCAAGGATTTTATTAGGAGAGAAAAAAACAATAAATGGTGCCATGAGTTGACTCCAAGTCCAGGAGTGAAACAAGTGAGTGACTGGAGTTAGGCAAACCCCTCATTGAGTACCCTGGGGCTAAGGAAGCTTCAGAAAGACTGCTGAGGACCCAACTGGGGCTGCCTCAATATCCCTGCGAGGCTCAGTCATGGGGCAGAAGTACCATGGGAAGTTGTGCCCTTGTTGCCATGTGGCAATAGCTTTCAGGGTGCATAGCTGGAGTCCCTGGGCAGTTATGCTCCCCAAAGTCAGTGGTCTGCTCCTTATATGCATTCTCATAGCTGCCACAGAATGTATGTACGTGTGTGTGTGTGTGTGTGTGTGTGTTCCTTAAAGTAGAACATTTAAGAGTTCATGGAAATACATAGTTCTTAACCTGGAAAGAGAGATACACAGCGCACTTCTCTTGAGATCTTCTATTACTGTGGAAGACGGAATTTCAACAGGTGTTTTTCCAAATGTCCTCAGGAAAGGAGGAGCCTGGGTTCAGCTGATGTATCTTCCCTGCTTTGGAGCCACAATGGGGTTTTTGTCTGCTCTGCTTAGCTTACTAAGGGGAGGCCTGGGTTGGCTTTGCTGAGGAACTCTCATTATATTAGACTCACTGTCATGAATAACTTCCCAGAGGCAGCACTTTGCTTTTCTAGGATCTTGGAGAAGCAAGAGTAACCACCACACAGAAGTTTAACAACTCATCTCAGTGTTGTTTCCTAGCAGAATAAGAACAAAAACTCACAACAGATTTCATCCTCCTAAATAACAGTGCAGAAGTGGCTATTATAATTATTCCAAGCTTAATCAGATCAAGTGGATGCTAATGAATAGACTGCTTATATTCATTTCCATAAAATTAATTTTTAATTCCATAAATGACATTTTAATGGAAACCAGCGATGCTTTAGAATGCTTTGGTCTCTGCATACAACCCTCTTCGCAACTTAGGAACCCAAGTTCTAAGACAGGAGGAGGCTTTCTTTGTCTATTTTATCTTCCTACATTCAGTGCGGATCCTGGTTATACTTCAAGAAAGACGATGCCTTTAAAAATATATCTTTTCACTTGTCACAAATAACCCAAAAACATTTTTTCACCATGTCACTGTGTAACCCTATCAATTATTTTTATTTCTCTGGGTTCTCATTCAATTAATTTTTATTCATACTTAATTTTTACATAATTAATTATTACATTATAGATAAAACTGTATATTCTTTCTTTATTGAGTTATCTTACCATAAGAATTTTAACATGCCCTTACATAGCTATCATATTTTGATTTCAACATATCCATAGAATCATGTACCACAGTTCATAACTCTTTCCTTTTGTATCGGTCATTTAGATTGCTTTTCCTTGTAGCTGACATTGCCATGACTGGAGAGATGAGGTTATAAATTGCTTTTAAAGAACTCTGGGAGGGCTGGGGATTTAGCTCAGCAGTTCCATGGCCTGCCTTGCAAGTGCAAGGACCTGAGTTCAAACCCCGGCAAAAAAAAAAAAAAAAGAACTCTGAGGAAAATTTCATTGTTAAAATTCTATGTGTGATAAAACAATTAATGTCAGAGAAATATTGCTTAGAATATAAACAGTATTTCTCACTTTGCAACTGAAACACCACCTGAATTTACCTCTCTTCTCCTTCCTCTGAACCTTAGCCTTTCACATGCAATACCTGATGTAACCGTTTGGACACAACACCAGTGAAATGTGTACAAGTTAGACATAGCTTGTTCCCTTTCTCAAAAAATAATATACATTTAACTTGGTAGTTAAGTTTAGAATCCTTTGCCAAAATGGAACATTGACTTAAGTAAATAAGAAACATGGGAAAATAGGAGTGCTTGTTATTGGATATTGTTTTATTGAAAACAAACAGGTGGACAGTCTTCATGTCTGGTTCATTGTTTACATCTTACTTTGACTCTGCGTACCCCTGGGCTCATCTTGTCTTTCTCTTCCGCGGAGAAGTCCCAAGTCAGCACATGTTTTTGTGTGGCCAGAAACCATCCCAGCACATTTGCATGCCACTTGACAGTTAGCAAGGCACTTTTACTATATTCAGCATTCCCAACAAAACTGTGGAGTGGGTATCATTACGGTTGAGAAATGAGGCCTAGAAACCATTGTCTAACAGTTATAGACCAAGGTTGAGCAATTCTAAATGCTGTGAACTTTCTGCTAAGCCACTTCTTCTCCCTCGGGGAAGGCAACATAGTCAACCTTCTGGTATCTTGGAACATCTTTTCTTGAAGTGAGCCCAAGAAAAGAAACATAGAACTCCAAACGCCATGTTTCTGAAAATACTGGTTTATTAATCTATGGTGCTTGAAAAAAGAGATCATCAAATGGATTCACTTTACTTCAGAGTCCCCAAAATAGAGTAAGGGAGCCCTAGAGAGAGTGAATTCCATACACTTCTAAAACACAAACCACAGAACCCACTTTGTAACTGCTGGAAAGGAATAAGTAGTGGACTTTTGGAGTCATACACTATTTACTTGCACAGTCTAGATCTGTGCAAAACAACTCTGGGCCGTTAACAACGCTGCCCTTCCCCATCTGTCAGAGCACAGTCTAGTTGCCCTGGGTCCCTGTTGCCTCCTGATATTGTGTTTCCTTTAAAGACCCTGAATAAATGCCTCTGCTCTTGTCTAAACTTTCGTTTTATTTCTGATTTGT